ATATAAATTTTTAGAGCCTCATTCATCTTCAGTGTTTTGTTCCACTGGGAAGAAACAGTTTAATGAGGCTGCAAATAGATTACAGGAGCGACACTTTCATAAAATGGGTGCGCTACATCACACTTAGCGTAGTTTCTTGGAACAATTTCTGAAATTTACTTTATCGGTAATGGCATAAAAATCTCCAGCTTGTATATGTATATGATGTTTTATTTTTAAAAAATCAAAACAAATTGTAGAATTATAATACTAGGGGAAATGTATGGGTTTGTTTTCATATTTTGGTGTCTTGTAAGAAATTGGTAATCTCGCTGAGATTTTGCAATTTTATGCTGTTTTTTTTTGTTATTCATCATCATAATGTAAACCTGTTCATGCCAATTGAGGTGTGAAAAACCAGTCCATCCTGGAGGGTGCCAATTCTATTGCGGTTGACTCGCCGAAAAACCAAACGTGTGTTAAAAATATATGTATTTGGCCGAATATAGTACTCACACATTTTGCTCGGGATCAATACACAGTTACCTCGCTGTGAAAACACAAAGCAAAAACAAAACTTAATAGAAATCATCGTGCAGTTAAGAGCATCAAATATCCAAAGTAAACCTTGTTTTATCACATTTGCAAAGCATCCAAAGGTCTTAAAGCTGCACTAACTGACTTTGTTTTCGTATTCACGGCGAAAATGCAATCCATATCCATGTAGTGCATTGGAATATACTTCCTTTTGAAGAATAAGTAGCGCAGATTTGTGCTGGCATGACATTATATTTTAGATTGAGTTTTGGTGAAACAAAGAAGAGAAAGTGTTTCGGGTCTCAGATTGTGACCAATCACAGCGGACCGCTGGCCCCCGCTTTCGTGAGAAAAGCCACAGGTCTCTGATTAGCATCGACAGCTGAGTTAGCACCACAAGCGGCGCAGGCTAACCTGAATCTTCCTGTGTCTTTGTTACTGCTTACAAAGCAAAACATCCATCCAAAAGAAAGTCTCGTCCTCTCCGCGCTTCCCGGTTCTGTTATTCTATGGACACGCCATCCACGTTCAAAAGTGCCATATTGTTCCATATTGTGAGACGCTAGCTTCGACGCTAACAACAGCACAGAGCACAGGCTGCGGGGGAGGGGGTAGTGGGGGGCGAAAGCTCCGTCGGTCGGGGAGGGCGAGCGGAGAGAGGGAGGACATCACTCGCGTTTGAAATTTTCTGTCAGTCATCAGTTAGTGCAGCTTTAAGTGGCATGCATGGAGACCAAAACCTGTCAGACCGGTTTTATAATCCCACAGAATTAAGTGTGTTGTTTGAGTGAATTCGTAAAAACACTAATTGTCATCCAGCCAACTTCAGCTCTGCAAATACAGGCATGTCATTCAAGCTTTATCAGCTTAGAATCTCTCGAATGCAGTATGTAGTATAACATAAGCAAACATCATTCAGATCACTTCAGCTGCGAGCGTATTGCCATCTTGGGCCTCCCCATACTCCACTATTCTGATGTAAACAAATCCAACCAAACCAGAATCACAGGTCGTGCTCCAGGTCAAACCATAAAGATGCCGTCTGTTCAAGAAGGAGAGAAGAATAATTTTATTGCTAGAAGTGGTCCATCTGTTTTTAAACAACATGGAAGTTAATTGCAAGTTTTTCTATGAAACATTTTTTTTTTTTTGCCTCTGACTACTGTAGATTCTGTAAAAATTGGCACTTCCCCTTTTGCCTGATTTGGTTTGCTCCGACAGCACATTTTCTACCCTGATGCCCTGGACTGATCAGCAGATGAGCACAGACTAATCATCAAGTTGATATTAGAGAGATTAGAAAGCAGGATATCTTAATGCTGGTCAGAGGGATTATACCAAAGGAAAGATCGATTCTAAAACTTAAGCTGTTGCCCTTTATCTGGCCACAAATGTAAAAAATGTCTTTGTCCACCCTCGCGACACAGATGTGCAGAACTGACATATTTATACTGTGCAGGGTAGGACAGGGTAAGAGCTGCTGACCCTGCCCCACTGCACAGTTTTCAAAGGGCTTTAAGTCAGCGCCAATGTTTGAAAAGGATTGGATCATGGACTGTACCATGAAATTAAAAATCTGATACATCATTACTGTGAGGATGAGCTCTCCGATTTTATTCACACAGCTCATTCATTTCATTGGATTTAAGGGAAATTTTGTATTCATAATGTGACAAAAAAACTTGATTTTTACAGTGCCTTAAACTTTTCCACATTTTGTTATGTTGCAACCACAAAAAAAGATTTTTGAATTCAGTTTTATGTAAACATTTTATTTCTTTACAAATATGAAAACTGATAAGAGGTGTTTAAAAAAAAAAAAAGATTCACATTGCCTTTTAGATTTTTCTTGATGAATTGTCAAATGTTGAACACAACTAATACTGCTGTTCTTTGATTGCTTCGGTGGATTATTGGTGTTGGTCATGTTACTTCAAAAGTAATAGTTACTAATTTCTTCTCCCCAAAAGTATGTGTGTTAGTGCTGGGCAAAAGTCAAGCATTTTTTCTTTTTTTTTCAAACCATGTACTCAAATATCATATTTCAGTATGCACTATTTTATCTGTGAATCACTCCACCTCACAGATAAACAAGGATCTTTCACAATTATTTATATGTAATTGTATTTTGTATCTACACAGTAGACTTTTCCCTCTGAAATAAAGCCCTGCATTTGACAACACACTTGAATCCTGCTATTTGTTGAGATTTTACCGTCAGCTTGAATTAGAGCCACATTACTGAGGTCTATGTCAGTAAGTGCATGTATAGATCCTGTTTTCTTTAAGGGCTAGGATCCATGTCACCATATGTCACACGGAATCTACTCCAGGTTTTATGGCTTATTTAGCCTGCCAGATTTTATTATCTAAGCCTTATGAATGCTGTGTTGCCTCTGCAAAGAGGGCCTTGAACTTTTTGGCATTTTGTCACGTTGCAACCACAATAAGATTTTTTAAACTTAATTTTTGTTTTTTATTTTTTACAAATGGATAAAACTGAAAACAGGATGAAAACTTGCATCAATTTACCTGATGACCATCAGTACCTAAGTACAGTAGTTCTATGATGGCGTCAAAGTTTTATTAAGAGAATATGGGTCACTATACAGTAGTGATTGATACAGTGCAGAGCAGCGCAGTGATAGGAGCCTGTTGCTACGATTACTCGTCTGAGCGGCCATAGTGTCATGCAGAGGGTGTCTGGAGAAACACGGGATGCTCTGCATTAGAGCCCTCAACCTTCTCTCCAGCACAGCTCCAACAGAGTACACAGTTCTCATCACAGAAACACATTTCCCAATCAGCCTATTGAGCCAGTTACTGTCTCTCGAGGTCAGACTGCCGCTCCAACACGTGACCCCAAAGAACACTGCACTAGCTACAACAGTCTGGTAAAATATGCAACCTCTGACTGCAACATCTGACTGCTCACATCAAAGGACCTCAGTCTTCTCAGGAAGAAGAGTGTGCTCTGGCCTTTCTAGGACTGCAGAATCTGCGTGGACAGGGGAAGAGTCGAACCGGTTGTAAAAATGGTTAAATTAATCACCATTACCGGTCTCCTCACTGCCCTTCTCTTTGTACTCAGTAACGGCCCTCATGCCTTTCCACACTTCCCGGGTGTCGTTATTCTGCAGTTTCTCCTCTAGACCATTCTTGTACTCCCTCCTTGCCTGTCTCAATGTCCTCTTCAGGTCGTGTTGGACAGTTCTCACCTGGTCCCTGTCACCTGCCTTAAAACCCTATTTCTTTAGGTTCAAAGTGTTTTGTTGTCACTTGTGATCCAAGGTTTGTTATTTGGAAAACTGCGGACTGTTTTCTTTGGCACTGCAACATCGGTACAGAAGTGGATGTAGTCAGTAACACTGTCCACAGCCTTGTTGATGTCCTCCCCTGAGCCCAGAAGTATTCCAGTCGGTAGTCTCAAAGTCTCAAAGCATCACTGGCCTCTGTTGTCCATTGCCTGAATGATCTAGGGACTCAGGGTTTTCTAATCACATTATATTGTACATGATGCTCATATTGGTTTGGTGAACATATTCTCTAGTTTGGCAAAATGTTTTGTCAGATTTTGTCACTTGTTAGAAACGCTAATTTCTTTACTAGTCTATGACGGTTAGGTTTTGGTCTCTGTAGGTTCCTGCGGAGAAGCCGCTCAAAGATTTGAACGCTTTCGACAGCGTCTTTCCTTTATCAGTCAAGTTTTGCATTTTTGCACTGCATAACAAAACAAAACAACTTTTACAGCGAGGGACATGATCCTGAAAAGTATTTTGTTTTCTTCATTCCCTTTTTAGCTTACAGTATGTACTAAGTAAGTTGTGTATGTCATAACAAACAATATGCAAGTGGAGGGTTAAAACCGCAAGCTTGACTTTTGATGAACTAGGTCAGGCTCACAAGAAGGATAATAATTCAGATTCATTTATTTGCCATTTGCAGTAAAGCAACATTGGAAAAACTGTGCAAGACTACCCCGTTTGCATCAGACGGCACACACCAGAGCTCTTGCCACGGCGCCATCTTTACGGCGCCATGCCGTTGTGGGGGGACATCTCATTTAATAAATTAGCCTTTCATTACGTGCTTCTCCATGTGGTTCTCCTTGTTTCTTGGAGAATACGCCATAATTATGATGCTCACTTGTTGCATCAGCTTTTGTGCATTTCAGAAAAAAACATGTATTTGTATTGAGCATTTAGTCATTACAATATATATTGATAAGTTACTATTTTAATGTGTTCTTTTATGTTTCTGAAAGTATTTTAAGATATCTTTAATATTTTGTATTTAAAAATGTTTGTAATGACGTGATATCTGCACTGCTTGGTGATTGATTAGTTGCATAGTGTCATAGTGGCCTTTAAATAGTCAATTTTGATAAAGACAATTTACACATAAAGTATGATTTTGTAAACAAAGGCTACTAGACTTGTCCGGCTTAACAAAGGACACATTCATCACTTCTTCTGTTGTTGCAGAACTGAGCTCGGAGAATCTCCGCACCTGCTTTCAGATCGTCAATGCCTACATGTACCTGTCGCCCACAGAGTTCCTACAGGTGAGTCCAGTGACAGTAAACTGGAAAACAAGCTCATTATAACAAATCCACAACCAATACCATGATGAATATGAATTAAAGATAAGTAATGATAATAAAGCATGTGCTGGTCCATACTATCATTGTGCTTGCGCCTAATACCAAGTACAGCCCAAGTTACTACAACAGTTGTCTTGGAGGACTTCACAAAATTATAGATTCGCCTACAGCAGATTATAAAATCAATAGATTAGAACACAGGAAATACAATGCAAATGTAATGGATCGGGTGCAAAGAGCACTGGGTGGTGGTCGTAGTGGCCGGTCCACACAGAGCATCAGGCTCTGTGTGGACTGGAACATATAATAATTACCTCACTGGGGAGGGAGGAGCTGGAGCTTATGGGGGAGGTTGAGAAATACTGACTAGAGGTAGTCGGTCCCACATTGAGGTAGTCATGTCCTTGAGAGGGATTCAACGCTTCACTTTTCTAGCGTTTCTCACTGGGAGAGTCGACGAGCTGGGTTTGGCTTACTCATTGCCCCCATCTCAGCCACCCTGTGTTGGAGTTCTCCCCGGTGAATGAGAGGGTCGTGTTTTTCCGCCCTGGGGTGGAGGACAAGTCACTCACAGTAGTGGCAGTCTACGGGGCAAACAGAAGTGCATAGTACCCCTTATTCTCCTGGGGGACTTCAACGGCCACTTGGACAAACATCATGTGGTCGAGCACAAGGGTGTGGTGGACACCCTTGTCCTGGTGCATGTGGCACCAGGAGACTGTGGGGCCAGAAGTTGATAATCAACTTTGTTGTTGTGTCATCTGACCTTTGGTCACATGTCTCTGGGTGAAGAGAGGGGCGGAACTGTCAACAGAGTGAGTTGGCAGGGGAAGAAATTGGTCAGATCTGACGGACCCGGAGTGTATTGTGATGGTCTGCCGGCCACGTTACACTGGACCAGCTCTATACAGTGTTTACTGGGGTGTCCTTTGGGGATTCTCCTGGAGGACGGGGTCCTCTGCTGGTGGCCTTCCGGCCCCGGTATGACAAATAAAATAATATTGGCTGAGCTGAAGTTGGATGGATGATACAGTGAACTTGCGTTTATGATCTCAAAGACTACTTTGGGTTAGCAAGGCAGAGGGCCACACAGAGGGCCAAAATTGCCCCCCCAGGCCTGTGTTGGACATGCCTGAGTTAAAGCATCTCTGGGCCTTGTTCACAAGTGTGGGAAGGATGGAGCGTGAGATTGACAGGCGGATTGGTACAGCGTGTGCAGTGATGCGTCCGTTGTATCTGACTGTTGTGGTGAAGAGGGAGCTGAGTTGAAAGGCAAAGCTCTCGATTTACCGATCAGTCTACGTTCCCACTCTTGCCTATGATCATGATTGCGAAAAAGCCAAATTCAAGAGATTGTCATCCAGAAAGTACTCACATTTCACAAATTGACATTTATGCAAAGTGTAAAAGACAGTACTTAATAGGAAGTTATAACTTAACGTGTGTAAACATCCTCTTAGCCTCACATTATCCAGCCTAATGGCTGCCGTTGCTTTCTGTACTGTTAAATTCTGAAAGGACGCAGAGCAGTCAGTCTCTTGCAGTGGATGGGTGTCGTCAGAGATAATTTTCTGTCTCATGAACTTCTCCAACTCACTCTACTTTCCCACCCAGCACTGAGCCAGACCTCTTCAGCAATTTGTCCAGTTTGTTCCTGTCCATCACATAAATGCTGCCCCCACAACAAACAATGGCAAAGAATAGTGCACTTGCATCAAAAGAACGATAACATGTACTACTACTATTACTATGCTATGTTTTATAGTTAGCTGAACTGCTACAAAATACTTTTTTTATATAAAGTTTGAATGTGTTGGTAATTTATCTCTCTTGTGGTCTACAAAATTTGAAGATTTTTTAAACTTCAATTCAATAAGACATAACTTCAAAAGTATTTTACAAGTTTTTTCACAGCCGACTTTGTCCTCATGAAAACTTGCCAGTAACAATATTATAGTGCCACCAGGATTAATACGACACCGGTGGCATATTACAGTTTAAACGTTTTGACGGTAATGGTTATAATGCTTTCTCCTACACAGACTTCAGTATTAGATCATATATTTATGACTTTGATGGTGTATAAACTTTAGATGAAATGTGCACTGATGCATCAATACAGTATATTTCATGTAGAGGGGAAATAGTTTCATAACTCAGATAATTCTATGTCTGCAGAATGAAAGGAAAATGTATTTATGAAGAGTGTTATGCCCAATATGCAACTAGTTGTTGTAGTAGTATTTTTATTTGAGCAGTTTTACAATATATTTTTTGTACATGCACATGTTGATTACCATCCCATTACGCTAGATTTGAGGAGCATAGTTATTTAATTGACATTTAATAGATGGCTTTGAACACTACAAACTTTTCTCATCAAAACCTCTCAAGACCTCTTTTCAAACCCCAACACATTTTTTCTTCCTACCACCATGCTTTTATGTTCACACATAAAAAGCATGGTAAATTTAGTGTCAGTCATAATCTAAACGATGCATGAAGTAATAGATTAAAACAATATAAAAGAAATGATGAAGCACATAATCTATGTATTTTATATTTTTGAAATATGGTAAGTCATCTGTATGTGTACATATATTTCCATTGGAATGTGTAGGTCAAACTAAATCATTCATGCATTTTCTATTCACTATATTTCCAACATGTATGGATTGACTGTATGTACTGCTGTATATGTATGCTCATGCCCAACGGAGATCTCTTGTGAAATGGAAACCATACAGAAATTATCTGTGGTGCAACTAAACATAAAAGTAAAGTTTAATGATCCTCCAGTTGAGAGAATAAAAATGAACAATTTAATTCAGTTTTCAGTAAGCTGGAAAAAGTAAGTTTCAACACATTTGGATATAAAGGAAGGATAAAGTCAGGGAAATTAACCATTTTGTTGTAAAATCTAAAAGTTTTTTTTTTTAAATCAACGTTATATATATTTTTAAAGATTATTGTGAGATGTCTGAAGAGGCTCGTCAAAAGGTCTGGTTATTTAAGGTAAACATTTGCTTCTTCTTGCAGAGTTACGCTGAGCCATTGTGTAGATCTTTCTGTGATTTACTGAAGGACATCACGAACGAGGGACAAGTCCAGGTGCTGAAGGTAATATCACTTTATAAACCCCACAAAACCGAAAGGTGGACGAAAAAAATGTTAAATGTGGAGAGAAGTGTAATGGCCATAACGGATGCGACAAGAGAACATGCTGAATATACAGAATGTACTACAGTGCACTACAGAAGAGGTTTGGTGTTACTCAGACTAATAAATGAGTCTATGGTGGTGGCTTCTCTTTCACTCCATTTATCACTGTCTCACATGACACTTTTATTTTCCACTGAGTAAATACAGTGTTTGGGAAGTGATGGCTCTTGGGGCAATATTTTAATATTGTTACAGTAATTGAAAAGCCCTTTGCAATTAACTTCAGAATAGAAGAGATAAGTCGTGCTAATTATCCACAATTGACTGGGGGAAAATTGGCCGATACTTTTCACTACATTTTGCCAAATTGTGACGGATTTTTTTTAATGACTTCATACAATTTATACTTCCTAAAATGTACAAACTTAGTCTGCCCCGCTCAGGCCGTAAGAATAAGGCCGTTTTCGGCACTGGCATTCATACTCCAATGGGAAGCACCGCAGCTGAACAGATGCAAAGTTGGTCTTATGATCATTCCATATATAAGGAAATGTCAGTCCTCCTATGCAGTGAAAACAAATCCTGGCGAGGATTCTGCCAATTAAATATCAACTAAATATGAGCTATACATGTTTTTATACACTGGAACTTAAAGCTGCACTAACTGACTTTGGGATTTTGAAGCAGCGGACTCTCTGGCCTCTTTCTGCTCCCCTCCCCGCACCCACGAAGCTATCGCCCCCACACACCCACTGTTGTTGACGGAGCTAGCGTCTCCCAATATGGATAATACATGGATATGGATTTTCACGTGGATGGCGTGACCATAGAACGATAGAACCGGGAAGCGCGGAGGAACGAGACTTTCTTTTGGATGGCTGTTTCGCTGTGTAAGCAGTAACCGGTGACGAAGACAAGGAAGCTTCAGGTTAGCGGTGGTTAGCTCCGCTGCTTGTTGTGCTAACTCGGCTGTCTATGCCAACAGACCTGTAGATTTCTCACAAAAGTGGGGGCTCGTGGTCCGCTGTGATTGGTCACAATCTGCGACCCGAAACACATTCTCTTCCTTGTTTCATCAAAACTCGATCTAAAATATAATGACACGCCAGCACAAATCTGCGCTACTTTTTCTTCAAAAGGACGTATATCCCAATGCACTACATGGACATGGATTGGATTTTCGTAATGAATGCAAAAATAAAGTCAGTTAGTGCAGCTTTAAATACAATTTCTTTATTAGATATTCCATTACATTCTGGGCAGAAGTCATACAAGAATCATAGTCGAGCTTTGAAAGTCAAATCAGAAATGGAAACATGACTTATGTGTATCAGAAGAAGCCTGTCAGCACCCAGGGGCCCTGCAGCATATTTTCATAACCTGTGAGTTGTATTGAGTGTAATGTTACTGGTATATTCAGTGGAGTATTGGCCGCTCTTGTTTGTTTACTGTTATGCACTGATACATTTGTAAACTTCACATTGAGCGCTGTGATATTTGCTCTTCTATTATGTTCTCACAGAATAGCCATTATACCTTGAGCTTGTGTTGGGTAATGCTCGGTGGCATTACTTCACAGCTGCTGCTCCTAATCCTTTATTCAGTGGGAAGCGAAGCCTGCAGACAATAAGCCAACCAATCACAACAACTGTGCTCAGCGGAGCATATTGGCACTCTCAAAATACAATGATATGAGTGATCAGTAATGTCAAGAAGCTTTCCTCACTGCCTTGTCTAGACTGGCTGAAATATAGGTTTTATCTTCAATATTATCTCAGATGAAGGGCAAGGAACAATAATAATGTCTACCTCATGACTGAAAGATCAAACAAATCCATAAACAGCCTAAAGTTGAGGACACAATACCAGGTATGTCATTTTCAACTAAACCGGTGGCGGTTCATAGAGGCACAGATGCTAAAGTGGCATTCCGAGACAGCAGAGAGACAAAGGCCTTCCAGCGTGCCGTGGTCTCCCCTCATGAGAAGAACTTCCAAACCAAGGATTCTTCTGAAACTTTTGTTTTGTTGTGAACAGTCAAATCAAGTGTGCTGTTTGTATTTAGGAAAATGTCTTCTGCTCATGATTCCATTCTTTTTTGTTGTTGGTGGATCCCGCAGCGAGCAACCGCTGTGCACCTACTGTGCAGCCTGCAGCGACACGACTCTGCTTCAGCTTTGGTCCCTTGAATGCATATCAAATATTTGATTAGCCTATTGTACTGGAGCACTCATAAATGCAGGCCCGGGACATGAAGACTCCTAAAGAAAGTATACATAATATTTGAATATCATGCATAGTTAAATATTTTTGTTGCAGAGGATAAACCCCTTGTGACGAAGATATTTCTTGTTTGTTATTTCTCATGGAGTTAAGTGTTACAGCCCTATAGTTGAGCTCGTAGGGGAAGAGGAATGTAACATACAAAACCAAGATGCCGGAGCCTGGGCAGAACAGCAGCACATCACAGGTCGGAGGGAAGCGGGTATGGTGCGGCTCAGTGCCAGCGGCCGTAACATTAAGGGAGGGACTGTTGTTTGACATGACTAATGTTTATCTTAGTAGCTCAATATTAAACAAATTAAAAACACTTACAAATACAATTAATATTGAAGGAAAACAAAAACAATACATTTGCCGTACAGTACAGACAGTGGTCACAAGTCTGTGTCTCCACAAGCCACTTTTTGGCGCTTTTTTGAATGAAAGTGTTATTGATAATACATATTGATAATATTGATAATGCTCCTGTGGACTCACCTGCAGGAGGATCAGTGAGGGGCTGGTGCTATGTGCATGGGTGCAGCTCTGACTGTCACCCCCCCAACCCAGAAATGGATTAAGGGGAAGAAAATGGATGGATGGATGTTATTAATAATAGTGCAGATTATTTGAATATTTGCCCTCACAAATTTCTAAATGACTCAAACACGGGCTGTAATGGTGCGGTGTAGAATCTGAACCCTCTGGGGGACACCAACCATTACATCTTTTCAAATTATGATCCAGACATTCTTATTTACTATTTACCATCATGTTTAACATATTTTCCAAATAGAATGTTTATTTCAATGTGATATACTAATAAAGTATAGAGTTTACATTGTACTGTTAATGTAATTTAACTAGATTAGAATATATATATTTAATTAAGGGTGTATTCAGAACTGCACATTTGGTCCACTTTAAACGGACCAGGATTTGTTTGGAACTCTGATCCGGACCTTTTTATGCAGGTGTAAATACACAAAAACGAATCCTGGTCCGGACCAAAGAACCGGACCAAGACCCACTTTTTTAGGTCCAAACAAACTCTGGTCCAAGTCGATTGACCTGAATCGACTTGGGGTATCAAAATTATTGCGTCAATTTTTTTTTTTACGCGTTAATGAACAATGTCATTAACGTGAATCAATGAATGTCCGAATGACCCGCCCATGTATAATAATATCACTCAGAATGCCGCGGACACATGGGTGTGTGAGATGGCAACAGAGAAGGTAGGCCCTCAGGGGATTCAAGTTTTAAAAGAATATGCGTGTGACTGCGGGGCTGTTGTTTGCTGTATGAACTGAAGTCCGCCTCCCGGGGCACACCCCGGGGGCAGCTGCGGCCGCTCTGGTTGTTGTTAGCAGCTGTGAGCCGCTAACAACAACACGGCAAATGGCGCCGCGGTAACATGGTCATATAAGACCATACACGCACAGGACTGTTCTCTGCATGTTGTGTGACACACCGCGGAAGTGTCCATGTCTCTCTTCCTGAAACGCAACCAAACTCGCTAAATTAAAGCTGGGGTACGTACATTTTCCCTTTCATTAACAGCTCTTGTTGGTTGTACCCAAAAGTAAAAGGTTAAAGACCAAATCAAACAGATGTAAGTAAATTTGGTATGAATGACAATGTGTCATTATATTTGATGATACATTTAACTTAAATTTGAGTGGATTTGAAATAGAATGTAAAAAATGCGATTAATCGTGAGTTAACTCACCATTACTATACGATTAATCAACAAAAAAATTGTTATCGTTTGATAGCCCTGGTTTAAATACAACCGGTGTCGATCCGACACAACTCCAGGATACGTGCACATTTTTTGGGCTTAACAAGCCACCGCAGACAGAAACTGTGAGGAATTAGCCACGCGTCACAGCTGCTAACGCATGCTACACAACGACATTGAGCCGTGGGGAGACCTGGAGCAACGAGGAGTAGAGTTTCGTTCGGGCCTGAAAAATGAAGCCCGACCCGGCCCGAGCCCGCTAATGTTAAGCCCGAGCCCGTATAAGCCCGACCAATGAACGCTGTATAACAGGCCCGAGCCCGACAGAACCCGACACATCTGATTTCCCGTTGTACGCACTCACCTTCCAATTGCAAGTTTAGTCTCCACTTTTGAATTTGTTTTGTCTCCACTTGATCCATTTCTACTATTGTTCCTGTTCGCTGTTGACCACAGCATGCAGCAGGAGACACGGGGATGATGCGTTCACGGCTCGCTGCTGCTGTAGGACACGCTGGTTACGGTGTCATTAATATATTAACTTTTTTTAATAACTTGTTGTCAATCAACGGACATTGTTATTAATATATATATATATATATATATATATATATATATATATATATATATATATATATATATATATATATATATATATATATATATATATATGCATATCATTATGTATAAAAATCATTTAAAAATAATTATAATAATAATAAAAAAGAAACATATTTAAAAAAAGAAGCCCGAGCCCGGCACAAACCCGACAGCTGAGCGCCAAATGAGGCCCGAGCCCGGCCCGAACTCAGGTCGGGCCTCGGGCCTGTTCGGGCTGAAAAGCGAAACTCTAACGAGGAGACACTGTGCAACAGGCTATTGGAGTTAAAACTTTTCACAGTGATGTTAATGGCAGCATCTTCAAATCATTTGCATTATTAAGCCTCACGTGTTTGACTCACGTCTCAAAAAGCAATATCCCGTACCATGTAGTGAATTGTGTTCTCTGGTTCATACCTGATCCTCCGTCGTCTGTCTGTCAGTATGTTGTGGGACAGGGCACGTAACGCACAGAGTCTCCTTTGGCTTTTGACAGCACGCATTCGCCGACACTGTTCCAAAATTTGAAACAACGCATTTCACCCTAAATCAATACATCTGCTGTTGTATGTCAACATACGTGTTTGTGAATAAATTTTTTTCATGCTTCTCAGGAAAACGTTGATTGGCACTTTTTGTTACAAAGTTGTTTTCATGGGTCATTTGGTCCCAACTTTGTCTGCCCACAATACTGATATTTTGGAAAAAGTTTAGGATTTTAGATGGAGTGAATGTATTGTACTTGTTACATTAATTTGGCTTTCACTGAGAAACGAAGGTCAAGTATTATTATAATTTGGCTTGGCTTGTCACTGTTCATTTCATTTTCATCATAAAGTTAAACCAAAGCCGCTAACCTTGTCTGTCACATATGCTAGGTCAGAGCCTGAATTAAATCTCCTCTTTTCCCCATTGTTTGACTATCTCTTGAATGGAGCATCTTCTCACCACTTTCACAGCTGTTTTTAACCACACACTACCTGACCCCTCTCCCCTCCTGCCTGCATACTTTCTTTTCCCTCATATGCCCTTCAGATTTTTCATACTGACTCTGTTAATTTGTCCCCATCTTAAACTACGCCCTTTGTGCTGTCTTTCTCCGCAGGTAGTGGAGATAGCTTTAAAGGTTAGCCCTGTGCTGGCTCCCCACATGTTCCATCCCTTGCTGCCCGCTGTCTTCAGAGGTATTCTGGACGGGGAGGTAGGTTGAGTTTTTCCTCCAAAACTCGGCTTAAAAGTGTGAAACGTGGAATGCATAATCTGTCATATTTTGGCTTGAGGTGTTGTCGGGACTTGCGTATTGTACTTGGATTTGTCCTTTTCTGTCACATAATATTTACTTCTTATGCACAGTTGTGGCTGGTATTGATCTGCCTTGTTAAAGGTCATACTGTGACTCAAGATATGTGCTTTGTCAGGCACCAGTTTTTCTTCACTCTCTGTGGGTGTGTACCTAACGCTAAACATGAAATGACTTCCATTTCTAATAAGATGAGGTAAGATAGACTTTGTTGATCTCACACTGGAGGAATGTCCATGTCACATTTGGCATAGATAGAATCACTCAGATTGTGCAAAAGACAGAAGTGTGCAGACATGATAGAGGTAAAAAATATAGTCTGTGCAGGTTTTACTTATGTACAATAAAAACTTGGCAAACAATTTTATTTATAGAGCCCTTTACAACACTCAAGGCGACCAAAGTGCTTCACAATAAAATTACATGAAATCCATTAAGCATTTATACATTAAAAACAATAAAACAGATTAAAAAACGTTTAAAAAGTGTCACCTCCTATTGAGTGATAAAAGTGTTAAAAGCCAGTCTGAATAAATATGTTTTGAGCCTGGATTTAAAACGGCCAAAATCAGTGAGGACACGCATATCAGGGGGCAGCTTGTTCCAGAGTCTGGAACTATTCGCTGGACCCCAGCAAATAAGAAGGACCGGTCTCCCCAGTGTTTGGACCTAGTAATAAAAGAAATAGTGGCTATAGCAGTGAAGTTTTTTTCAGTCCTAGTGCATTAGTTACTTAGTGACTTATTGTACAGTCGGACAGCGGTGGGGTTAAAGCTCCTGTGGTAGCGCTCCTTCTTGCACTGTTTTCCACTGAAGGAGCTCCTCAGCTCCTCTACAGTCCTGTGCAGTGGGTGGGAGGTATTGTTCATGATGGAGGTGACTTTGGCTAGCACCCTCCTGTTCCTCACCTCCTCCACAGAGTCCAGGGAAGCAGCCCTAGAATCATTCTACTTGATTTTATGTGTAACTTTGGTGATAAGAACATTGGGCCTCATTCATCAATAACTTCTTAAGAATCTTCTTAAATATCCTAAGTTGTTCTTAATTAGATTTCTAAGAACCTACATGGGATTCCTCAACGCGCTCATAAGCCGCTGAATTGTTCGCAGCTGTTCTCTTAGATTGATGAATGCCATCTCCTCGTAAATTAAGCGTGTGCCAGGTGATTCAGGTGAGCATAGGTACTTAGCATAGGTAACTGCCCAGTAATGCCCATAAAAGGGACTGTAGGGCCGTGTGCAGACGCAGAGGAAACGGCAACAAGCCAAAAGCAAAGCGTAATGATGGAGCCAAAGAGTCACCCTTTTTGATTAAAGTCATAAGATTTTGAGAAGTCGAAATATTATGAGAATAAAGTCGAACTAGCAAAATTATGAGATTGATTTAACCATATTATGAGATTTATTTAATATTTAAATTAAAACACAATATTTTTAATCTAAAAATATGAGATTAATCTCAAAATATTTTGGACCTTGGGAGGAGACCAGCGCTGAGACCAATGCAGACCCGAGGAGAGACCATAGACTGGAGAGACCAGCGGGAACACTAGGAGAGACCTACGTGGACCCGTAATAGATCCATGGGAGAGACCAGCGCGGACCCCGCAACCTCCTGCAGAAGCAGTATATATGCCATTGTTTTGTGGCCCGTGGATGGAGAAATGCCCCTTATAAATAGGATGGGATCACTAATAGGCGGCATGATTTCCAATGTGATGTTCTTACCTCAGAGAAATTCTGGATGCGAGAAAAATTCATGAATGGCACAATCCTCGTAAGTACAAATTTGTTCCTAAGAACTGTTCGTGAATGAGGCCCATTGATATCCAGGGTTTATTTTGAATAGTTTAGAGTAGCTTAGAGTGATAATGTATACAACAATAGTATTTATATATATTTTTAGATCCACTTTCATTCAGGTAAGGTTTATGGAGTAAATACTTTTTGTTAGTACAACTTTATCCCTTGTTAAATCTAGAATATTGCGACCGCTCAAGCCAAAACTCTATCTGAAATAGCCAAGTTCCCATTTCAAACGGAATGCTACAAAGGGAGTGATAGTTTAGAAAGGTCAACCTTGGATCTTCTACCATTGTGTCTGTTGCAGAGATACCCAGTGGTGATGGCTACATACCTGGGCATCATTGGGCGTGTGCTGCTCCAGAATTCCAGTTTCTTCTCCTCCTTCCTCTCTCAGATGGCCTCCGAGTGCAGCCAAGAGGTGACAGCCTTTTATACCCTTGGAAGCAGAACACCAACATTAAGAGTGAATTACGCTGAACAAGGCTGAAAGTAAAGACCACATAATTGTCAAGTTTAAAGTTTATCTCTATGGCTTTTTTTTCTAATCTAGTTTGGTCTTCTTTTTTTATTGCAAATTTACCGTTTGAGTGCAACTTGTTTACGACTATTAAGCAGTGGTACATTTAAAGGGGAAAAACACCAGCAAGAATTGTCACCTGGGTTACATTATACTACCCACTCAGCCATCATTTAAGAAGGCTTGTTTTACACTAGTGATAATTATATTCAATAGGGAGTTAACTTAAGCATAGCACAAAGAATGTAAAAGCATGAAAAAACATAAAACATATGTCAACATAAAAGGAATGTTACTGGATCGGTATCAGAGCCAAAAAACACGATTGAGACATCCCTAGTTTTGAGAGTGTCGGGGTATGTCACGGCGTGTTACAGTCAGGGATAATTGCAGCTCATCCTCATGTTGTGTCTCAGATGGAGCAGTTACTGGGCAGCCTGATCGAGATGTGGGTTGACCGCATGGACAACATCACTCAGCCTGAGCGGAGGAAGCTGTCCTCGCTTGCCCTGCTCTCTCTTCTTCCATCTGACAACGGGTGAGACCCCCATCATTCATTCATGTGTTGTCGTGATGCAGAAATGGTGAGGAGTGGATAGCTTGCACTTGTCAGCATGTCTGAAATGAGGCACTCACCGAGAGGAAAAAATGAGTTAAACCTGACAAAACTGCTGCATTATTCATTCTGACACTGTTGAGCATTTTTGGCGTCAGAATTTGGAACAGCGCTGTTTGTGATTTAAACTAGATAGATACTAAAGTCCCCTAATTTAGATTTCACTTTGTGTCAAAAAGGATTTCAGAAGTGACTTTTAGCTCAGTAGCTCAGTTGGTAGAGCATTGGCCTTAAGCCCAGAAGGTTGTGGGTTCAATTCCCACCTCTGCACCTTCTCCACCGACTCCCACTGATGACTGCTGTCGTTGTGTCCTTGGGCAAGACACTTAACCCCACTTTGCCCAAAGCCCCCACTGAAAGATCAAGGCTATGCTCACACTCAGAGAGCAGCCGTCCTCCTGTGGACTCACCACCTGCAGAGGGTCAGTGAGGGGCTGGTGCTATGAGACTTGGGTGGCATCTCTGACTGCCACCCCCCTGACCCAGAAATGGATTAAAGGGAAGAAGATGGATGGATGGATGGACATTGAAAGACATATTTGCCATTTTGTTTCTCGACCACTCTAAAAAAGTGCCTCTTCCAGCTACGCATTATCAGCAAATTAAGACCTGTCGTGTCTAAGAGTGACCTGGAAGCAGTAGTTCTCTCTTCGCTTGCCTCAACAAACAAGAGCTGACTGCAATATGTACAAAACCCAGCTGCAAGACTTCTGACAACCCAAACAGGAGTCCTCAGAGCTCTTAATTGGCTCCTTGTCGAATACTGTGTCCATCTTATAATCCTGGTGTTGTTTTGGAGCCTTGCATGGACAGGCCCGTTCTTACATCTCAGCTTGTAGTCTTAGATCCCTTGAACTCTCTTTCAAACTTGTGGAGACCATTCTTTTCAAGCTGTTGCACCACGGCTCTGGAACCATCTTACGCATTTCCTTCCATCTCTGGACTCTTGTTGATCTGACTGCATGTACAGTATATTATCTTACGTGTATTTTAACTTACATTTGCTATATTATTAGCTCTGTATAAATAAAGTTAAATTATAAAGTTATTTAATGTGAATGAAGTAGTTCTGCTCTGACTGCTGCCTTCATCATAATCTGTTTTTAATATAGTCAGAGCAGTGGCCCAAAAGAGTACTCTTTTATTTATTTGCCAAGCGGAATATTTGCATGTTCTTAATGCAAGGGAATGCACAAATTTTATATACATTTTGTTTATGAATATGCTTGAGCTATATAGAAATACTGAAATAAATAAAAAATGCAAAATGGTAGTTACATTTTTTTTTTAAATAAAGGTAGAATATGTACATTTCTTTACCCCTAATATATACAGAATGAGATTAAACAAAATATTGTCACAGTACACCAAATAAAAAATACTGTGCAAATTATTTTACCTCCAGCAGCAGGCTCCAGCATGTTTTGGGCTCCACTTTCCTTGCACTCTGGGCTTCACAGGTTGTGGATGCTGCACTTCTCCTCCCAATGCCAGCAGTGTCTGCACATCTGTGCATTACACTGATCCAAAGGTAGTCCTTACATTTCATATTTTTTATGTTGAGAGAGTTTGACTGCGGCACAAGTGCCTGCATCCGACCTGCAGCAATCTAATTCTGGCTTGGTGGGCGCCAGCGAGTCCTCTGTAACAGCCCATAAACACCACACGAGTCATGTGAAGTAAAGAGACTCGCGCAGTGGCGCGCCTGGGGGCCGCAGAGTTTGACAGTGATTCTGAACATAATTTTTTCTCCACCACGTTGAGCTGTTTACAGTGGCAAAAGTGACGCATGCACCTTAACCTCGTAAAACTTATGGGTCATGTGGTTTCTGCTCTTGATTAAACAAAGTGGCAAGCATGCATTGTGAAGGGCGCTCTGAAAAGAAGCGGGGCAGCAAGAGAATTCAAACAGATGTGAAAATGAGCGTACCGCTCATAAAATGTAAGTACCGGTACGCCAAAAGCACGTTCTTGGTGCATGGAGAGGTGGCAGTACGCTTAAGGGCTATGTTTGGAAGTGCTGGTACCGTGTAGCGGCCCATTTGAAGCACTGATTCAGAGGGACAGTGAGGTATTAGGTGGATGAAACAATGTTAAATTTGACATTTTTGGACAAGACACTGCATCTGGCTTGCATGTACAGTGAATGTTCAAAGATGATGATGCAGATTGGCAGCCTTGCTTTCTCTGCCTCGACTTAACCGACTTTTTTAAGCATAAGAATTTAAACCTAGTTTGTTTTCAGGGCAAGTTTTCCTTTTGTGACAAATTGCAAAGCACTTGTTTCCAACTTGAATAAAAAAAGAGGGAAATATCCCAAGGGAAAGAGTTTCTTCTCAAAAACTTCCACCTCTAATAGGGCAGGTTTCAACACAACGCTTTGCATTGAATTTGAGTGAAACTTTTCCAAAACGACTTCAAAGAACTTACTGTTAAAGGGATTTTCAACTTCCCCCATGATAGCCTTTCATACTGTATAGTGATGGTTGTCTTCATCAAGATTCTATGCTCTACATTTTGCTATCCTGATATGGTGATTATGGCGTGGACAGGCGTGAAATGCTTTGTTACACCCCCAAATGTGATCAGGCGCCATTGATTGAATGAGACAGCTTTGTCTTGTACTGTGCAGCAAAACATATCAGCGTTTCGCTTTCTAATCGCCATAGAGATGGAAGCTTTGCATCTGGCTTGCCATTTTCTTTCCTTTTGATTGAAAATAAGATATTTGTGGAGTACAGTCCTGCCCACTTTAAAATCCACTCGCCCATTTACTATTTCCACAAGGGACAGTAAAGTATACCTTAACCTTTACCTTAGGCTTTGAAAGAAAAAACAAAGACACTCTATGAGGCCATTATTCAACCATTACACAAATGGCTTGTTTAACACTTACCTACCGAAAAAAGTGAACTTTGGCTTGTTTTTTGTCATGAAATCTCTTTCTCTCTCTCTTTCTCTTCTCTTCTCTTCTCTTCTCTCTCTCTCAATTACAGCTCAAAAATGAATTAACCGTAATGAATCGCATTTCAAACTATCGGGAAAATGATACCATATTTTTTTATTATTGTGCCTCCACAAACTATTGTTTGTTACAGGGATGAGAACGGGACATTTGAAAAAAGTCTGAAATGCATGTCAGCCAATGGCTGTCATTAAATCTGTTTGATTTGCTCACAACATTTAATTTTTGGGCATAAACAACATGAAATGGTAGTGCAAAGGAAAAGTTAGGTACCCCAGCTTTAATTTAGCGTCTTTTTTTCGCTTCGGGAGAAGACACGGGGGAGACGGACTGTTTCTTGCAGCGCTGTTTTTATTGTGCGTCCTGTGCATGATCAGTGCACACAGTGGTCCTGAGCGTGTATATGGCATTGGGCTGCGCGCTCCCGTGCTGTTGAAAGCCGCTCACAAAAGCCGCTCACAGCTGCAGGACGCGGGAACCGCTATCCAAAGCAGCCGCAGCTGCCCCAGAACGCTGCGGACTCCTATTCACAGCAATTGCCCCGCGGTCACGTGCGCGCGTGGGGGGCCAGTCATTTGGCACATGTTTTAAAAGCGTTAATTGATTTTTTTCATTAACCGCGTGAAAAAAATTAACGCGCGTTAACGCGATAACTTTGACAGCCCTAATATATATATATGTATATATGCATGTATGCATCTATGTACTACCCTATACAAACTTTTTTTCCAAGAAAATAACTTTTATACTTTAAGCCCCCGACCTGAGTTTGACACTCCTGTGTTATGTAGTGTGTGGCCTTTTGGCCTTTTCTGATAACTTCAACCCTTGGTTCCTGATTTATTCTTAAATGCAAAAAAGTAGAAAGAGTTTATCCTAAAAATAAACATTCTCTCATAAGTTTGTTGTGCCAAATATTTATTTCATGTTTAGCCTGCGCTACAAGGGTATTATCATCCAACTCTGCCTGAGTCATCACGATCAGCTTATTTTGGCTCATCGCTGACACCTTATTTTTCAACTCTGTATGGAAGCCAATGTGCATTCAGCCCCGGGAACCACTGTTTTCTTCCATCTCCAAAGTTAGCTGTGATCTTCTTTTGGTAGTTTGGGTCTTTTTGCAGACTCAGGATGTTGGAACATCTGTTAATTAGACTTATAACAAGAGATCACTGACATTTAAGTAATTGTCCCTTACACTTAAATCATACATTATTCAATTAACTAAAGCTCCCCACATGGTCTCAGCACTGGCAATGTGGGGAGCATCTCTCAATGCAGCTTTGACAACCTCTTAGCAGAGCGTATACTTGTGCATCGCTACATTTGCGGTGGACCTTGTGGCGTCACCTGTTGTCACATGACTAATTCAAGGATCACCACGAGACCACAAGGACCTCCTGCGCTACCACTTGTGCACCCTTGGATTTTTCTAACGCAACTGGCACCGCAGGGAAGGCTGCGGGAGCTTCAAAGGGTACCGAAGGAAAAACAGTTTTGCCTCTGGATTATGGTTGTATATGGCATTAGTTTCTTTTGCACTGTTCTTGTGCCTGTCTTTGTTTGAATTTGCACTTGTACATACCATAGCTTATCACATCTGCACCTTCTTGCATTCATTCTTCACTTGTAAATAGTTCATTTTCACTTATTATTTTGCTTGTTTGGTCACGAATAGATTAATAATAATAACACTGGGTAACAAAAAAATATTTTTTGAAAATAGTCCAGGGTTTTCCAGCTGAATTAGACTAATTTTGATGCTCTGAGTCCGAAAATGACCTTGGTTTTGCTCAATCAGGTCAGGATTTTTTGCTACAGAAATATTTTTTTGCATCAATTTTGCGTAAAAAAACAATTTTCTGTGGATCATCAGCTGAGAAACCCTTGACGTTTTTTCCGTTTTCCTCAAGAAATAAAAGTCAACGTATCCAAAGTCATTCCGTTTTTATTTACTCCATCATATTTGATAAGCAGAATTCATAATAATGTAGACGTACATAATCCGTAACACTAAGGCTATATCTCCAAAAGTTGACCTGATGCATGGGATATTCGGACTCAGAACACCAAAATTAGTCTAAATCAGTTGAGAAACCCCTGACCATTTTTTGGCTGTCAACTTGTGTAATAATGTGTCTTGCCTAAGGACACAACAACAGTTTGGCACTTTACAGCCGCAGCTGCCCCACTGAGGCCCAGTGGCTTTCCAAGGGTACCCCTGGGCCCCAGGCAACAGAGTCCTTGGGGGCCCTGATACCGACCACATAACTACATCAAAAGGTTTATATTATAGTAGGTATACAGTAAATATATATTTATAGTGTATATAAACACCGAGGGCCAAATGAAAGATTAGGCTCTTAGCTTTAATCTACAAAAAACTGCTTGTTTTTTTTTTTTTTTTTTTTTACCGTTTTTGAGCAATGTGTCATAGAATATAATGTCGATAGTTTAATTCAAAACACTGAACTCACCCGGATTCAAACCCGGGTCACCAGATGTATGTAAGACCACTATTACATACAATACATAATTGTCCCCAGGCAGGGTTTTCAATTGTTTAGAAAGAACGTAGCAAGTTTTGCATCAGACGAGAAATTTAAACTCGTCACTGCAGGTAGCTGTTGTAGTCTTTACAAGTCAACCGCTTGTGTCTAATCAGTCGGCCCTAGGGGGCCCCCTGCCGGTTTGGGGGACCCAGGCAGCTGCTGCCCCCTCTGCTGAGGCCCCTGGTGTTCCCAGAGGTGCTGGCCCTGCCCTGCTTAGCTTCAGAGATTTGACATGATCTGGCTTTTGCATGCAAGTATGGCCACATAATAACCATCTGTTTCCAACAAGAACTGTGTATTTATTTGCAGCATCATTGTTGAAGTCTATAGTACTGTCACATAACCTTACACCTAGAAAACAGATACAATGAGATTCAGAGAATTTATTCATTGATCTCAAACGGCTTGGTTTGCTATTGTTTTTGTTCTGAAGAGGAGAAAGTAGCTTTCAGAACTTTATAATGGGACGCCTTTGGTGTCCCAGGCAATTCCTGTGAGATCGCCATCATGTGGTTGGGGTGTGGTAATGCAACACCTCTTTCCAACTTCGTCCACCGCAAACACCAACCCACACAGTGACGCCCAAGTATACGCCCACCTTTAGGAGCAGTGAACTGCTGCTGTACAATTTTTGGGAAGCCATTCTGAGAGAGGAGCTCTGATTTGTCAGAATCAACCAGCTGGATGAGTTCCTGAGCTGTTCTATTTTGGCGGAACCCAGGACTTTTTTCCTCTGAAGTATGAGCACTAGCCACTTGTTTACTGGGTCTTTATTCTTACAGTTCATGCTTTGTTGTCTTTCACAGCGTGTTAACTGCTGCCTTCCAAATCGAGCAAATTAAGTGGCAGAGAGGCAGCAGCACAGGGCAGCCAATGAAAAGTAATCACAGGAGAGGAGTGGAGCCGGTTACAATTATAATTGACAGTCTTTTTACAAAGCTGAAGAAGGGTCACCTTTAATGTGATGGCTGCATACAGCGGCGGTTGCCATGGCTGCCAATGTTGAGAGGATCACGGGGAAAAGGCGCTCACTGATGTTTTTGCTCTTCCAGATTACTACAGGTGAATTACAGGCCAGCCAAATTAGTTTCAAACAAATGTCCAAAGTTAGTATGAAAGTCATCATGAATTAATTTGAACATTAATTTATCTTCAAACTTAATTAATACTCACTTAATCTCATCATCTCACCTTGTGCTTGTAAAAAAAGCAATATAAATCTTATTCCACAAATTCCTTGCAATTATTTGTGAATTGTATATGGTGAAAAGGCAGATCCTGCTGGTCCATGTCCCCGGACCCCAGTGGTTAAGAGCCCTGCAGTCCCAGCAGTTCACCTTCCAGAGCTTCAGCTGCTCCTCCTCTCGCTAAAGCTGCAAGAGAAGACTCTGATCTCTACTTGTTCCTCAACATGTGTCTCCAGTCTTTGTCTGTAGTCGGCTTCGGCACTGAGGGTTCAGTCCGAGTCAGGTGGTAATGCTCTCTTGATGAAATGCAAATCTTATATTGTAACACATATACAATATCATTATTAGAAAGATTGCATCTTGTTAATACGTGATCTCATTATAAGTTCACATGATTACAGTATGTTCTTTAACAAAAGAACTGAAAATGTTTTATCCACAGTAGCAAAACATCGTAATACATTTAGCTGTCTGACTGAATTGTATATTTCTTATACTGTAGCTTGCTCTAATAGCTTACTTGAAGTTTATTTTCAACTTGATCCAATAAATTGAAGTCATCTGTCATTGTGAACCTGACAACATGAAAAATGATCAAAAGTGACAAAAATAAAATTAGAATTGAACTTGGAAAATCTGCCCCCCCCGAGAGGCTCCTCTTGGGGGTGCGATAAAATCTGTGAAACTAAATTTACCCACTGGTCCCTGTGGTCTAAAGGTTTCCAGGGAGAGATGGCTGTGAGTGCGTCTGTCAAACATTGATTTATTATTTTTCTTCTTTTTTGTAATTTTTTCTTGACTTCATGCTTGCTGAACTTTGCGTAACATTGCCGGGGGTCAGCCTAGGCGAGTACTTGAACTGACAGCGAGCCTTTGATGCATCAGTGCTCCAAGCCACACACACTCTTTTAAAGCACATTGACTTTGTATTCACAGCTTTATATTCCCATCGACAAGGGAAAACCCACTCTTTTCCCTGCGCTTTCAAAGAATGACTCAAATAATTTATCAATGAGTTCTCCCTGTCCCCATGAGAATCACAAGGACCCCCATTGGTCTTCAATAACATAAAACGCAAAGCAAAAAATATATTAAAAAACAAATTATGGATTATGGTTTAAATCAATACATTTTAGGTTGTAACTTTGAAAATTCGGGGCTAATTAAATAAAAACTGCCTCAAGCGTGCCTTCTGTTCGAGGAAATTAACCATGGTGAATTTTCAAAATGCCTTTTCTGTTTCAAATTAGAACATATATATATATTTTTTTTTAATTTATTAATTGAATACACACTTAATCCAATCTGTAAATGTTCATTGCATTTTTAGGTTTTCAAATAAAATGATGTTTATCAATATTTCTGGACACATTTCTCTGTGTTTCTTGCGTTTGAACGGCTTGATTCTCTGATCTTTGTTGGCGAATTCAACAGAGATCTGTATTATGCAAGCTGTATATGCAAGGTTTTGTTTTGTCCTCTGAGATAACTACTAAAGTGCTTTGTGACTCTGGTCTGTGAAAGGTGCTATATAAACAAAGTTTACTTACTGTTGTGATTTAGGACCATATAACCATACATTGAAGTGAATTGCATTAGGTTTAGAAGGTAATCCCACTTTCTCAGATGTAATTATTCTCCGCAGGACCCTTTTGGATAAATGGTCATATTTCCTGTGACATTACACCCTGGTTTTGATTGAATGACTCAAATGTATAAAAAAGGTGGGCCGTAGTTCCTGGTAGTAATAAAAATGTCATGAGCTCGGATGGAAATGGTGCTGGTAAGAAATTTCCGATTGGAACATGCGGGACACGTGTTGGTTCTAGTGATGAATGGCACTTATAGCTTTTTCCTGTGGACGGCCATGTGTTTCATTTGACAGCCACTTTATCAACCTGACTGGCTCCACATTTATCCAACAGGCAGGTGTTTTGTGATGCAGGTCCAGAGCTGCACATCTCACCTGTTCTCTCTGTGTGTGTTTGTGTTTGTAGAGTGATACAAGACAAGTTCTGTGGCATTATCAACATCACGGTGGAGGCGCTACACGACGTCATGACTGAAGATTCGGAGACGGGCACCTATAAAGAGTAAGAATTTGTGCTGCTGATGTCATGACAAATTATGTATTTAAAGCTGGGGTATCTGACTCAAACCACAAAAAAATCAGATTTCTATCAATTGCCATTGTGAGTAACAGGAAGTCACATTGCTTTGACTCTCGGTGTGAACAAGTTATAAAAGTAAAAATAGAATAAGGCATGCATGAAAAGAAATATAAGATCTACATAACGTTTTTTTAAATTACTACAATATTAGTGCATTTAATACACACAATAGACATGCAGTGAAATCCCTGTAACTTGGTGCTTGCTATCAAACAGTGGTTCTATCATGAATGAATGAATGGTTTATTTTGGTTGATTGGTGCATTTAAATCAATACAATTTACAAACAATAATGTTAACAACAACAACAAACATTCAACCAAAAGAATAGGCTCAAGCAATACTTATTTATGCCCATTATTTATGCCCATCCTTTATCATGAGTTTTCACATGTATATTTTTGGCCTCTCTCACATCTTTGGATGAGCTAAAATGCGTGACAGCATGTTTATTCACAAAACTTTGCATGTACAGGACTTTCTGTTGAAACCATGTATCATTTCAGAAAAAAAAAAAGTGGTGTACCAAAGCTTTAAAGGGAAAAGGCTTTTATGTGGGCTTTTACCAGTAGGAAATACAGCCACACCAAAACATCACTGTACCTGAAATATTCCATTAGCTGTCATAAACAGAAACTATGTCTGAATTTTGACACTATTCCCTCTATAGAGCTCTGTTTAACACTCACTGCATATTTAATGGCCTTCCAACATCCAGCAGGGGAAAAAGTAGTTTAAACTCTCCCACATTTTGTAATTAAGTAGTGTTCAACGACATCAACATATATTTTTATTGCAGTGACACCGTTGACTCAAGTTAGAAATAACTTACTTCGAATAAACACTGCTCACCTTAGCTTGAGCTCTTTATTGATGGATGCCTGGATAATAAGTTCAGGCACTTGCCCTTTAGCGATTAGCAATTTAAAACACAAGGTCTGCCAATCCTCAATGGTGCTGTTAGTGCCATTTTTTTGTCAGCTGTAGACTTAGGCTGGCTACAGACTAAACTTTTCTCTTTTGCAATGTTTTGTTTGTGTGGAGTTGCTGCGCTAACAGTGTTGTATGTGAAACTGTGGTGTAAAGACAAAAGTGCATTATGATTACAATATGTAGATTTATTAGCATGAAGTTCAGAAATTATTATGTTCAGTGTATGTATGTTGCGTTTGAATGCATTAAACTGCAAACAATAATCACTACCAATCAGGACAACGTTGAAAAAGGCAATTATCCAGCTGTCTATGCAATGTACTGTGCAGACAAAAAAACAACAAATTGCACTGGTAAAACCACAGACTCGCTGCAAATCAACCACAGTGAACTAATGATCAAGCAGCCAACACACACACACTCTCGCCTGATGCAGCTTTTAAATAAGTGTGGATGCTAAATGTAATCTTTTTTTGACATTAGACTAAAAAACAGGTAAGGTAGGAGGATGTAGCCATGTCCTTATTACAGGAATCACAAATGAAGCACATGGTCCCTGCAGCAGCGAGACAGAAGATTGTTGACTATCATTATGTCTGTGGTCTGTGTCACGACTTCAAATGTCACAAAAACTCCTCCAGACACAAGACCACTGGCTCCACGCGTTTCTTATCATTGCTTGAGTTTGGACTGTTTGATTCTCTGATCAGTGTTGGCAAATTCAACAATTTTGGGAATGTGAGATTACTACTGTTGTGATTATGGGCTATACAAAAATGAATTGAATTGTTGATGACTTTCATGTGTCTGGGAAGTCTTGCGCATGGCTTGACAAATACAAGATTTGGCTCTGGCCATAGCTCACAGCGTGGGGGCCCCGCATTCACGTCCCCTTGGGCTGAGCTGTTGCCATTCCTCTGAAGATGTAATCTTTATTTTATTTTATTTATATACCGCCTTTTCACTGCAGATCTGAGTCTCAAAGCGGTTTACAATTGTTATTTTTTGGGCACTTGTCCTCTCACTCCACACAGAGATGGGAGCGGGGTCGCCAAACAGGAGGCGCATGCCAATCCTATTGTACATATTTTTAGTGGTAGGGGAAACCGGAGTACCCGGAGGAAACCTACGCAGACACGGGGAGAACATGCAAACTCCACTCAGAAAGGCCCTGGTCCGGCCGGGATTCGAACCCAGGACCTTCTTGCTGAGAGGCGAGAGTGCTATCCACTCAGCCACCGTCTACAGATGATGTCCCTCTGCTTTAAAGGCTCGCCACTCCCAACACGTGTCATTGAGACCTGATTTGACAAGCCAAGAGACACGCTTTTTTTTTTTCCTCTCCCACTGTTCCTGACGTGTGGAATTCTCTCCCTCCTGCTGCGTTTCATACCCAACTTAAATATTTATGAGTTATTTTTGCCGGCCTATTATTAAACCTGACGGGAGAGAATAATGCCATCACATTAGATCCAAGCAAACAATGAAACGCGTAATTTGATTTTGTTTGCAGTCTGTTTTCCACCCTTGCTGCCTTCTAACTCTCCTCTGAACTTGATACATTTTGGCAGGGGCAAGACTTGTATTATTAGTTATACGGGACAATTAAAAATGGCATTGGAATATTGTAGCGCATTTATGTGAGATGTAGACACAAACTATTTTGAAAAGTACAGTTCAATTACATCTTTGAATAAAGTGGAGCGTTGAAAAGCACAGATAACGGTTTACGAATAATATAAAAGGGACCCATTACAATTACAATCCAGCTTTTGTTGACAGAATCTTCCTGCCTGTGATACATAACCACTCATTACAGTTACAAACAACTGCTTGGGTTTAGCTAGAAAAGGTACAAGCACATGATTACTTATTTGTGTACTGTATTTCATTTATAACAAGGTGTTTTATTTTTGGTGAATTTCACCAAAAAACTGGAAATCCAAATAAGAGACACATTGTGCTCTCTGATTGGATAATCCAACGTGTCCGGGGTCTTCTTCAGGGTCCGCATCTGGTATGGGGCATGCCCGGAAAGCTTCCCCAGGGAGGCATCCGGCATGCATCCAAAACAGATTCCCGAGCCACCGCAAATGGTTCTACTCTGAGCTCCTTCCATGTTAATGAGCTCCTCTCCACATATCTTAGGGAGCGCCAGCCACTTTGGAGAGGAAACTCATTTTGATCATTTATATCTGTGGCTTTGTCCTTTTGGTTATTACCCAATGCTCAAGACTGTAGGTGAAGGTGGGAATGTATATTGAGTGGTAAATCAAGAGCTTTGACTGCAGACTCTGCTCCCTCTTCACTACAGAAGTGTGATACAGTGACAGACCGCATCACTTTTGCACCAATCCATTTGTCAATCTCAACAACATCTTACCCATCTGTAAACAAGACCTGACACATAAACAAGATGTAAACACCTTACCTTATTCTGTTCTCTTCAGATGTACCTTCCAATTTAAAATAAAATATCTAGTTGATTATATTTACGTTTCCTCATGGTGCTCACCTTGAATTAAGGTAATACTCATCTTTGAGCTGTGTGTTAACAAACAGCAAGTTCACTAAGCGGCCGCCATCCATGCCAATCCCCCACAAAAACCTGCAGGTCCATGAATGAGAATGTTATGACAGGTAAATATCCGCTGTGAGTTATTTCCCACGTTCAAACAACATATGGTCTTTTATGCCTCTGCCTGTCACATCTGGGACCTGAGCCAAAACTCCTCTGAAACATATAATCGTCTTATTTCCTCTTCAAAATTATGTATTCCCACCCTAACGCAACCATTTTTGAAACCATCTGATATTTCCGCAGTAAGCACAGCATGACAGACACACAATGTACACATATACGGCCATGGGTTGTGGAGCGCAGTCTGTTGCACGTCGATGCGCCGTGCCTGAGGGTTCCGTCTTTATGTCTCAGCGTGTTCTCTGCCTTTTTCTGGTCCTCCAACTGTGCACTTTAAAGGCATGCTTAATATGGAGCTGAATTGTGGTGTGCTTGCAGTTGCATGCTGATGAGCCACTTGGAGGAGCCCAAGCTGAGCGATGATGAGGAGCCGCCCACAGAGCAGGACAAGAGGAAGAAACTGGTGAGAAACAGACGATACAGACACAAAACACAGCTGATGTCACTCACACATCACTCCCCGGCCGCTTCACTAAGGCTCTGTTGTTTGCCTTCTGTGCGGCCTCATATTTATAGCAATGATTGTGGCAAATCTTCAATGGAGAACGACATCGTCCGGACTCAATGGACTTTTTTGACGTTACAACATTGTTTCTTGATCAAACACAGATCTACAGTTGTTTTTAGATCCATCAGTGATTTCAGGAACTTCTAGCACAAACAGGTATCTTGTGTGTTGTCCTGTAGTAGTATGAGGTAATTGTACCACTATGACATCACATACAGTCATTTTTTTTGCCTTTAGAAAAAAATCATTGCCCAGAAGTCAGTTTTGGAAATAGTTCATGTCATATGATGTTCTTCACAACCACATGGTAGAGTTTGCAGCTGGTAATTTTTGAATAAAATAAAAACTCCTACTGGTGGCAGCCTAGGGAGTTACAGGTGCAAGATATTTTTCACCTTCATACTTGTTTCACCAGATATGTTTTCCTCTTGATATTTAACACTGTGAAACATGCAATGACAAAGTAAATGGCATCATTGTCATGCCAGTACAAGTTCACATAACAGTAAAGAATAGCAGTTTGGCTGTTTGCTTTCACTCAATTTCTGCTGCTAGAGTCCAATATAAACATCTGTAAATACCTCCTGCTGACAACAGTGCATACTCCACTAGTGACTTAAGTGTTTTAGATTATTCTATTATCTCATTACTTTAGTATTTTATTGTCTATTAAATAATTTAAATAATACTTTATCTTAAATCCTGTTTTATCTGTGCAATCTGAGTGCTCTTATTTCCTCCTTTCTTCTTTTCTGCTGTAATGTGCGTGACAATGGCATTGATATTTCCCCACTGTGGGACAAATAAAGGTCTATCTTATCTTTAACTACTTACTAAAATCGGTAACAGAAATATCCAAAAGAAAATAAGAAAAATATTTGTGGTAAGCCAAGTCACTGTATTGAACGTTAGCAGGATACAGGAGCTCATGAAGCAAGTCCAATACTTTTGCGCCTTAAGGGTTAACGGAACTTTGCAAAATGAAGCAATATTAGTGACTCATTATGTGATAATTGCCTTTGCTTCTTAGTAGCTGTGTACAACTAATGAATACAATTAAAATTTAACTCATTGTTGCTAACATTTGGATTACTGTTTCCACTCAGAAGTCCAGAATGTTAATAATGGTTTAGATAAATAAAGCCATGTTATGTGCAAATCCTTCTTTAGTGGTAACCCCCAAGAGTATGGACCACAACCTCGGTTAGAACTACATGTTTTTCTCTTCCCTAGAGCAGCTGGGATGTGTTTTATCGCCTTGAGTCAGCTCCAAGCAGAACATCCATCTTATCGACCAGTATTCAAATACAAAACAACTTCTACTGAATCAATTGTCTTCACCAATTTAACTAAAGCTTTCTTAGAATACATATTCTTTGCCCCTAGGCTTGAATTGAATTGAGATCCTCACTTTAACCAGGGTGACGCTATAATCGGTTGGATGTGAATGTCTCTCAAAAAGGAAATGGACACTATTTTTCAAAGAATCTATGATACTCATTGATCTTTGAGATGAGTATGTTTATATCATGCTAATGATGGATCCACGTTCAAGCCTGACAAGATCCTGTATTCTTCTATCAGTTAAATCAAAGTGAATTAACCAAACTATTGTGTGTTTATTTTATTTATTGCAAATGACTCAAAAGAAGGTAATTTTTTAAAAAGCTGCAAAGAAACAAGCTCATAATACCTTTGTGAATACTGATGTAATTGTTCTATTTCAAAGATGATGGTATAAACCTGTGTCCACAACGATGTCATGTATTTTAAGGGGTTTTTTTATACATATTTTGCGTCTGGTATTTAGTGTGTTACCTTTACTATGGTAAGTAGTAGTAGTAAGTTTTATTTATACGCCTTTTCACTGCGATCTGATCTCAAAGCGTTTACATGTATTTGGGCATTGTCTCACTCCACCAGATGGGCGGGCCAGTACGAGGCATGCTAGACATTGGATATTTGTGTAGGGAACCGAGTCCGAGGAACTCGCGACATGGGAGACATGCAACCCTCAAAGCCTGTCCGCCGGATTGACCCAGACTTCTGCTGAGGCGAGGTGCTACCACCGCCACCGTGCGTATTGGAAATTGGTTGGATTTGTAGAAATTATCCGTTTTTTCGAATGAATAGAACTGGAGCAAAGATAAATAATGCTCAGTACCGTAAACTAATTATTTGTTGCATTTTGAGTTCATTGTACATGAATTATGTGACTGTTTTCCTCTGAAAATGTGCTTTAAAGTGAGGTATATCGTTCCAGGGTAGCACATCAGTCAAATGGGAAGAAGATTAGATATGTTATGTCTGTAAACTTCCTCTGTCTGTAACATTAGAGGGTTAGCGTTATCTCCAGGACGACACGCAGGTGACCCGAGAGTTTTTAATTCCTATACTTAAAAAGCAGACGTACATGTTTTACCGTGGCCTTCTATGAAAACACCTTTTGTTCTGTATGCATTAAACATAACGCACTTGCATTTATGTATGAGCGAGTAAATGTATGTATTAGAATGTTGGTGATGTCTTGCAGTCAGCCTCCTGGTCTGAACGCTGCCGTGTCTGGGATACATTAAGCGTGAGTGTGTGTGCGCGCGTGTGTGTCTGTGCGCCTGCGGGTGTGCGTGCGTGTGTCCGCTGAGCTTCTGCTGATCCAGGCGACTTATCACCTCAGTCCAGACTCTCGCGGTTTGCTCCAGGGAACAAGAGGCCAGTCCAAGTCACAACTCTCTGTACCTAATGCATTGGGGCTATGTGTGCACGTGCCCCCAGTTGTGAATTTGACCGTGTTTGAGGAGGAACTTAATACCCTTCGATGACCTTCACAAACTGGGAATGTAAAGACCCACATATTTTGATCCAGTACTGTATGTGGGGCAATATATTCACTTTTCTATTCTATGTTGAGGAGAAACATGGTCACTTATGCATCAGGTTATCACACATATTTTCCTGCAACAGAAAAACACCCCAAGGTGCACTTTATTAATCCCCGTAGGTCAATTCATCCTCTGCATTTGACCCATCCTGATGCCACTAAAGCTTACGTCAGGAGCAGTGGTCGCCGTAGTAACAGCGCCCGGGAACCCATCTCCAGATGTTTGATGCTCAGCTTGGTTAGGACTACCGGAGCTGGAAGTTTTATCCTAGTGAGCGTGTTTTTAGAGGTAGGGGAAACCGGAGTACCTGGAGGAACCTACGCAGGCACAGGGAGAACATGCAAACTCCACTCAGAAAGACCCTGTTCTGACGGGGATTCGAACCCAGGACCTTCTTGCTGAGAGGCAAGAGTGCTATCCACCGTGCCGCCCCGGTGGCAGTGGATTTGTATACTTTAATGGGTATATTGTATGGCTTCACGTGTTATTGGTTACTATTGGTTAGTTATTGGTACATTTCTAAAATATTGACTTTTATTTTTTTAACCTTAGATACCTTAAATAGGCTGAGGAAAGATTTTACGACTCAAATAATTCATGACTGCAGAGTGAAATTCAAATGGTTTTAATAAACAATCCATGACGTTACAAATCTCTAAGAAGATGTTCTCCAGGAGCATCACTTGAGCTTTGTTTTCAAACAAATATTCTGTCAATTATTTTATTATCACAATACCTCAACTCAGCCCGTGTTGAGATATTCATGGCACATTCATGCTGATACACGCTGATTCTCTCATTTGCAGCTTTCTTATGCAGATTGTGTTATCTCTGTTACGCTCTGCCTCTTCACTTGGTTGAGCGCAGTCTGTCAAGTAATGTTTTGCGAGAAGGTTCCTTGCTCGCACTTGGGACAGAAAAATGTCACCTCTCCAGGGGTTGAGGGTGGGGTGCTAAATAAATATGAGCCAACACGTCTCCAAGAGTTTCCTTTTTCAAATTGGGATTGGAGTCCCGGCTTCTCCTGAGAGTGAATGTTTCTCTGACTAAACTTAAATGACGTACAAATGTCACGGCGATGTCTTATTTGTCGCTGGAGGTTTTGAGGTGTTGCGTCGTGAAGTTCAATGCACATTTACCTCAATTTATGACATGGGCCGGGCTCGGGGGAAATTTAAAGTTGTAGAATTATCCTTCTGAGGCTTTGCCACTTTGAAAGCACACAGTATGTTTATAGTTTGCTGTTGAGCTGAAGCATTCCACACTTTCATATTTTCTACCTGCATTTGTTGTTTATTGCTATACGTTGTTTGCAAGACCCACAACTCCTTCAACAACAAGAATATAATATTTTTTTATGATCGTGCCCTGTCCTTTCTTTTGACATTCATCCACGTAGAAATAAAACCATTCTCCGCCTCCAACTCCCCACTCGAGCCTCAATCCCCGCCTGCATTGCATAATAGACGTTGTTTTTTGTTGTTTCAGTCCCCCAGTGTGAGCGCATCTTGTATCCTGTGCTTCTCTCTTAATTTCCCTTCCTCATGGCCACAGTCAGAGCTGAACCCATCCTTCCCACATGCCAGTTGTTTATTTAGCTCGGCTCCTCCGTCCTCATCTTACCTCTCACGCTCTGCCCCGCTGTCTTTTATCATCAGTCACATCACCGTCACTCTGCTAGCCCGAGGGTCACATTTAAATGATTGCCTTTTTTTTCTTTTCTCGCCACTATTAAACCTGCTCTTGTTTGTAATTGATTTAGTACAGTTAGCTGAGCTTTGTCACTTGCATAGAGTGGTGACGTACACATGGCCTCGCAAAAGTGTCTGGACAGCTTGAACTCCAGCACATTTTGCCATGTTATAACTACAATATTTTGTTTTGTATTTTCTTTTTGTCTGAAAGACCACGACAAAGTAATTGACAACTGTGAAGAGAAACCGGACATTTTCAAAAGCAAATGCACTCGGAGAAATGATGTCGAGTCACTTTATGCAAGCCCCACTTTTCAGTTTC